TATATATATATATATATATATATATATATATATATATATATATACATGAAACAGCATTTTATTGTCCAACATATTATTGTCACGAATAATTTCTCATAATTTTTCCGTCTCAAAATAAACTTTTGTAGAAAAATTTACAAATAGAAACAAAGTGTCTCAGTGATGTGTCAATTACACTGTCACATATGCATAATTTATATGTGTTGTAATATTTTTATTTCAAACAAATACATTTGCAAAATCGAAATATTTCCAGACCTATTTTTTCTCTCATACCAACAATATAAACGGATACAGGAAAGGAATTATAATTTTCCGATTCCCATTTTTTTCCATCTTGACCATCAATCGATGTGCGTCTTTTTCATCTCACTTTCGTGTCAAATGTCTTCACCTGTTGTTACCTTGAAATTCTTCCTCTATCAATGAGTAGTTATATATTGAGGATGAATGGATGAACAGTTTTCGAAATGCAAAAAGATTGTCAATAAATGAGAACAAAAAAGAAAAAAAAAGAAAATGAAGAGGAAAGGAGTGGAAAAGCATTGATTCATTTGTCTATTTCATTTTTCAACCATTAACAATATCTCTGTTCATACTACCATTATGAATTACACTATTCTACTATTATTATTTAGCTGTCATCGATGACTTATTTCTTCCACTAATTATTCAAATCTAATCTTTTCACCACACTTTTCGTTTGCAGTACTGTCCAACAATGAAGAAATAAATGATTCAATTGATCTTTAATCTTTTTAACTCTAAAGATTGTAATGTTCAATTACAGGAATTTTATGATTGAAATGATCTGATGATGACACAATCTTATCTCTACTGTTAAAAATTAACTCTAATTTCTTTCTTTTTGTTACTTTCTTTCCTTTCTCTCACTTTTTTCTGTTACCTTTTTTTTCACTTTTTTTTGTCACCTTTGAAATTAATTCTATTACATTTCTATAAGCTTGTGATTGTTTATCATTCAGTGTTTCGCATATCATTCCTTTGGTTATGTCTGAATTTTACTTTGATATTTTATAAATTTCGACATTTTTTCATCTCTATTTGAAATAAAATTTTTGCACATAAGGATGATCCTATATATGCAGTAAAAGATTTGAATTGAATTTTGAAAATCCTATTTTTTCGAAAATCCGAAAATTTCACATGCAAATTTGGGATTGGTCTCCTTTTCATTGCTTTAAGGAATGTAACAAATGGTACAGAAAAATGACGGAATGAATGGGGAAATTCTTTGTTATTGTTTGGGAATCTTTATGTACCGGAAAAAAGGAACCAGGAACAGAATGCCGGAACGAGAAATGGAAATGGAAGAAGAAGGAGTAAGGTGATAAACGATGATAACATCCTGTTGAAAATGAAAATGACAAAATCATAAATATTCATTTGTTTTTTTTTTTTAAATCAATCGATTTAAGGTACACTCATCAGTTCAATGTAAAACACTTATTTACCCTATCAGACTTGACTCATTTTCCGAAATTTCCTGTTTGAATTCTTATTCCATCAATTTTTTTGCATTTTATTTGCTATTAATTAAGGTTGTTGCAATGTTTTGACATTTGCTTAGGATAATCGCACCAGTTTGTCCCGATAGTTTGTTGTGTTGAGATTTTTAGATGTGACAATATCTGTTAGGACAAATCTATTGTTTTCTGAAAATGCCGAGTAATTTATGTTGGAATGATCAGATTATTAAATATAGGCTAATATCCCGTTTACATAGCTCTTTCTAAAATGTTTTCACTTTAATTTTAAATTTAATGAAAAAAAAACAATCGAAAAATACTCAAAATTCAGATATCTCGAGAAATATGTATTGAGAAGATCAGATGGCATTGCTTGTCCAAATAATTCTTGATATACTATCATTCTAGCAATACGGTAACAAAAAGTAAAAAGTTGGATTCATTCCTTTACCCAATTGAAATTTTACCAACCTCTCTTTCTTACTTAAATCTATGGTCATATGTCTATCCATCATTTCAGTTAAATATGGATTACATTCTTTTTACCATTGGGATGATTGGTGGGAAAAATATCTTTATACTCTTTTATCGATTTATTCTTGCTTAAATCTTTATTCATGCCTAAATTTATCTTTATTTTAAATTACATTTGTTCTTACTTAAACGGTAATTATTTATTCTTATCTAACTCATTCTTGTTTTAAGTTAAATTTGTTCCTGATAAATCGAAAACGAAACTTCTTTTCGCTTTCTTTGGTAGCTTCGAATGCTTTAACGTTATCATCCTTATCATTTACTGCTTAAATATTTGCAAATTGATAAGAAAAAGTAGTAGTCGAATATTCAATAGTATTCAGTATTGAAAAAATGCTATCGTCATTGTCATTACTACTATATATAACAAGTTAGAAGTAATACTTACCTGTCTATCTACTTAAGAGTAGTGCTTATTTGTTCACTTAAACACCATACTTACCCATGTACCTGTTTAAAAGAAATAAGCTCATCTTGTTTGTTTATTCTTTTACTGCTTTATCATCCATCCATCAACAAATTTCATTACTGGTAAATTTCATTTTCCTCTATTTGTTTCATCGAATTGATCTCTAATTTCAATAATTTCCACTTTTCTCCCTTAAACATTCACTTAATTTTATTTATTCTTATTACTGGCATTAAAGTTTTTATTCACATTTCAAATCAAATACACCATTTCTAATTCCTCCATTATTACTCATCAGTTTAGTTAGTATAAATCTTGTTAATTTGAAGTTGCATGAAATTTAATTGTTTAGTTCATGAATAGAACTTTTTTTTTGTAATTTATTTCCATGATGGAAGTGAATTGAAGTAAAGAGATGAAAGTTAAAGAAGGATTGGTCTAACAATATATTTTAATGTTTTTCGATACTGTAGTAGTGGTATTTCTGATAAACATTGTCCTATCTATTACCCGTATGGGATTCACTTCATTTCCACATCATTAAACTTTTAACGCCAATCAGAAGAATCGATAAGA